TGACATTTAAAATCTGTTAGAAATCTCACCTTAGTACCTCCATAGAGTCACAATTTTCAGAGCTGCTCTGATAGAAAAAATAATTCTTAAATTGCTATGTGTATAACATGGGAATCTCTAATAAAGAAAAAAGAAAATAGAGATTTAAAACACATAATTAAAAAAATAAATGTTTAAAAATGTATCCAGTTGAAATGAAAGATGGATGCAAGGTCAGAAAAGTATAAAATGGATGCCCTATGAGAAATTAGCTCCTATTTTCCTTCTCAGTTTGGCTCTACCAAAACCACTATGGCAGCATCTGGAAGATTACTAAATATATGCTTTCCAAATGTGGTCACATTCAATAGATTATGTTTACATACGATGCTGGCCATCAGTGTCCACAATCCAACTTTCATTGTGTAATTTGTTTGTTTGTATATGGAACAAATAGCCGAGTGCTATCCAAATAAAATTATTCTATATTACATATTCAAGATGAAAGTACCAAAATACTACTTAACAGCACAGATCACAAAAGTTTGACCAGGAGGCAGCCTATGCGCAGAGCTGAGAAATTTTCTGGTGGCCAGTGTCTATGTTAAATTTTAGTCTAAATGTGGCCCTCAAACAAATGTAATGGAAAAAAGTATTTCACATAAATGGTATTAAAAGGTAAAGGTAATGGTATTAAAAGGTAAAAGAGGGGGAGGGGAGAGAGAGAGGAGGAGAAAGGTTTGGGAGGAAGTAGGATGGTGAGAGGAGAGGGGGAAGGGAGAGAGAGGTGAGGGGAGAGAGAAGGAGGAGGGAAGTAAGGGAGAGTATAAGAGAGGGCGGATGCAGTTTCGGGTGGGGTGGGCAAGCGACATCTAGGTGTATTCATTCTATCTTGTCAAATGTGAAATTTCTTCTTTTTTGTTTATGTAATTGATAATTGAAAAATAAAAACTTTTTTTGGAAAAAAAAAAAGGTAAAGGTTTTTCTCTCAGTTGTGTCTGACCCTAGGGTGCGATGCTCATCGCTGTATCTTGGCTAAGGGATCCAGCGTTGTCTGAAGACAATTTCCGTGGTCCTGTGGCCAGCATGGCTATATGACAAAAGCACTTGAAATCCTGTTACCTTTCCACCTAAGTGGCACCTATTAATCTACTTGCATTTGCATGCTTTCAAACTGCTAGGTGGGCAGGTAATGGGAACTCACCCTTTGTGCAGCGCTCAGGCCTTGAACCCAGGCTGTCAGCTAACAAACTCAGTGTTATTAACAGTTGAGCCATCACATCCTTTATATAAATGGTATTATCCTACCCATATTGTGAAAAGAAAAATATCCACTGCCAAACTGTTTCTAGGGGATCATATTCATCTTCCTCCTTCCCCCCTTCCTTCTTAATTTTATTTCTGAGAACTAGTATGCTATCTTTGTTAAAATCATGTTCAAGTCCTTTTTTAAAAAACATAGAGGCTGCTTGAATGACTTTAGGCAAGTTTCTCATTCTACCTTACAGTACTGTGCTTGGGAAAATACAAAAAAGAGAGCACTTACCGTGACATTTGGGGCTATGAGAAACAAGATTAAATATAAATCTAACAAATAAATCAGTGCACATCCCAATTTCCTAGGAACTCTAGTTTCATCCTTACGGCAACCCTTCGGGCCAAAAGAGAGTGATTGGACCAATGTCTCCTTATTCCTAGTCTAGCACATTAAACATGACAAACTCTACTAGTTCATCCTCTATCATTGTGCAATTTCGTGTGGAATTTCCCCAACCTCTAGTAATGTGTATAGAATAGATTGAGTCCTAAGATCACAAAGGTTGGCCATTCTTGGCCTGGATGGCACTACCACCTGTAATCGATGCTGTGAAGCTTGCTGTTGTTTGTTTCCTGATGGTAATTGGTCGATTGCGCTCTCTATTAGTGGTATCTTATTCTTAGCTACCATCTACCTTACTACTTCTTTTGTAAATTAAAACTGGGTCCCACTGGTTAGAGTATCCAGTGGACCTTACTTGGAAATACGACGCCTGCAAGTGGTTGACACTTGTGATACTGTGGCTCTTGGGAAAATTTGTTAACCTTCGAAAGAGGTCTCTGAGGCAGAAATACTTTCAAGTTTTATAAGATGGTGAAGTCCCCTTTGGTTCTTTTAAAAAGTATTAGCAGAGGTCAGATTAACAAGTCAACACTGAAACTGGAGATGAGCAGGATTCCTCAAACTGGGGCTGAAAAGAAAAGAATGAGGGAGAGGATTTGGGTGTGAGGATGAAAAAGCTCCCAACACACCCTGACTCTGATCCTTCTCCTTGGTTGGGCCTGGGGCATACTAGATAAGGTGAAGGGAAATTGTAAAATTAGACCTGGCAACCTTCACAGAGAGGCCCAGCATAAGCCCCTTGGCCTGAGGGAAGCTGAGAAAGTTTGAGGAATTGTGGGGGAAAAAGATCTTGGCAGGCTAACTTCCTGTGGCGGCATCCAAGGCTAATTAGTTTTCAGTGTTCTGTGTGTGCTTGAATGGAAACGAGCCAGCACTGAGAGGCATTAGATGAGGAAATCAAAACCACATGGGCTAAAAAAGGAGGAGAAGAAGAAGAAGAAGAAGAAAAGAAAAGAGGGGTGTCTTTTTTAGCTACATTTTCTTTTTTCCAAAGGGGGAGTCAGACCGTTTCTTTTCATGAACACTAAATCACCGCTGCTCCCCTGTCTATCACATCTCACATCTGCCTCAGAACTCATTAAACATCAAAAGGCAGCTCAATCAGTTCTGCTTAGTTAGACGTCTAAGTTACTAGAAGTCTAACCAGAAAAGATTTTGAATGTTTTTAATAATAGCTTAAGGAACTTCTTAGCACTCTATAAATTACTTAATGCAACAAACTCTTCCTGTGGACCAGCAAATGTTTTATAGGGAGAATAAATACTGCCTTAACATGCTTGTGGTGAGCCCACAGCCATAGATAAGAAGTTTAAATGAAACTTTAATTCAAATTTCAATTCATATACAGTATTTTATGTACAAGCACGCAGTTGTGTGGGCGGTTGTCAGTGTATTCTCTTCAGAATTCTTGAGGCTATTTATGCTTATTATCATTACTATTCCAAATGGACTTTTTCTTGCTGTAATGCTTTATATCTTTTCTCTCTTCATTCTGCTAAATTTGTTAATTAATCTGCAGATAATTCCTGAATTTATTGAATAAAAGACTAATATTTCCCCCCCCCCCAATAATTCATATTTGAAATAGCAGAGTCATTTTATGTTTGTTGACAATATGGTAAATGAGGTAGATGAGTTTTCCTTCCTATTATTCTTAGAGGGAGGGCCTCTTGAATTTACTTCCTTTCAAATAAATATAATTCTTTTTGGCTGCAATACATTTCTTCTATAACATATAATACCACATCATTAATTGGCTATACAGTAAGTGACAGCTTCAATTATTCTCCACTGGGCAAGCAAGGACTGAAATATGTCATTTCTTGGGGAAATATTGTATAAAAGCTTGCCCAATGCTATTTAAGAAACAAAATAAAAACTGCCATGGGATGTGGCAAACTTAAATGGAGAAGTTAGAAAGAGAGAAGGGTTGTTTAACATGTTTTCCTTGGGTTGCTTTCCAGTTGGATATTCCCTACTCCAAAGGAATATTGGATTCCGATTTCTAAGGAAAAATATAACTATCCCATTGGGAAGATAAACAGTTGGGACATATGGACAGAGGACAAAAAATTATGCAGTTCTTGCAAACCAATGGACTCACCTTAAGATTGTAACTCACATAGTTTTGTTTTTCTTTAAAAAATAGCAGTAGTATACACACACACACACACACACACACACAACTATATATCCCCTTTAATTTTAATCAAAGAGAGTATATAAATGCAATTTATGATAACAAAACACAGTGTATGAAGCAAAGGAGTTTTTTACTTGTGCCAATGCCATTAAATTCTACTGAATTTAATAGACCAGATGCATACAGTATGTTCAAAAAGTGCATTATTCAGATCATTTGTGATGAATTTTCATATTGCTGAATGATTCTCCTCTAATGGCTATTTTACATGAGTAAATGCTGATTTTCCAAACCACAGCGTTCATGACAGAGGCACAAAATTCATACTGTTATTTGCATTGACATCCAACATGTGAACATCGGGGCCAGCAAAACGAAGTTTCTCTGAACACAGACTGAGATTTGAGAATCTAAAGACTTGCCAAAACAGAGTGTGCAACCAAATTATATAACTAAGCCCTCCAAGAAGAATTGTTGGAAGATTGGGGGTGACTCAATAATTTGTAGAGGCTGTTGCCAGATGAATTTTTCATTAATGATGTGGAATAGGTTGTCACATACATACATGCACAACTACACATTCCTCTGGATTTTTTCCAATTTTTTTTTCTCCCTTTATTTCATGAATGAATTAGGCTGGTATTCAGTTTAACAGGGAGAGAGAATCCTGGAAAAATTCAAGTTCACTGTGTTCCTACTTCCTATGTAAAACAGAAACTAGAGCCTGACAGAGGAGAAGGTGAAGCGTAAAAGATTTTATTTTAAACACTGATGTGCAAAAATACAGGGCAAATTTTAAAACAGGAAGCAATTTTTCAGTCCCCGTCGTTGGCACGAGGCTCCGTTCGAAGCAGAGATGGCAGAAGAACTTGAAACATGGGTTACTGTATGACACTCGTCCTTCCTGGCAGTTAGGCCGTATGTTTCTTCTCTCATCTTTTAAAGCCCCATCTCTGGTCATCTTCCAAGCAGGGTGGTGGGTGGGAAGACGGAAGAAGAGGTCAACCTCTTTGGGAATTCCAGCAAGAGGAAGGGGCCAGGCTGAGACTCGCAATCCATGGAATAGGGGGGTGGGGGTGTAAATTCGGCCATCTCCTCCTCCAAAGCAGTTGCGGGGTGCTCCCCCTGTAGCTGTGGGGCCTCAGAAAGTAACCTCTTCAGCTGGGACAGCCAGGGGAAAGAAATTTATCCCAAGCCCTGATCAATTCCACGGATCCGTCAAGCTAACTGGATGTCCCTGGGATGGAGAGTGACCCGCTTAGCCTGGATGGTGCACAGGTAGGCATCTTCCATGAGATATACCAAAAAGGCTTCAGCTGCCTCCTGCAAGGCAAGAAGTGCCATGGCCTGCCACATCCTGTCAACCCCTTGGGTATATTCCAGACAGATCTCCCGCACCACACGAGAAAAAGGTAGCTTGGGAATAAGTAGATTAGTACTTTTTTGATACTTTCTGATCTCCTGCAAAGCTCGGAAGCCGGGCCGGTATCTCCGCCTTCTCCGAAGACCTGCTGGTGCTTCTCGTGGGGGGCGTCTCGGTCCAGAGCAACAGGGAGAGGCTTGCCTCCCACGTGGAGATCCTCCAGATCGGCCACAATGGGGAGGAGTTGAAGAGGACTTTGGAGAACGCAGCATCGTGCCTGTGAAGCAGGGGGCTGGGGAGGGAGGGGGAAGGCCAGCGACGATGGCAGGCCACAAACGCACCCCTTCCTCGTTCCGTTCTGCTAACATTCGTATTTGGCGCCACGCTTCGAGCCCCACCCCTCGCTTCAGAGGAGAAGGTGACCGCCTCTTTCTTAGTGGAAAGCAATTCAGGCATCATTCTTATTGGGGTAGTAAAGTTGTATTTAGGCCAAATCACTTTATATTATTAAATCTTCCATATGAAATTGTCCCTTCTTTTAGAAAATTGTCATGTCAGGAAGTCTTCTATATTATTTCCAACACAGAGACACAGATTTAATTTTTTTGCTGATATAGAAGAAGACTCATCACGCTAATCTTCACCTGATGTCTTACATGGGACAGATCAAGAAATCTACAACATAAAGGAAGGCCAGGGTGCCCTGGTCAAATAACAGAGACTGACGGGAAAGTTGGAAAGGAAACAGGGATGCAATCACCAGCACTTCTCAGAAATTGTTGTTTAAATTTTTGATTGGGAGCCACCCAGAGTTATTAGGATGAGCAGCTATGTAAATGTTTTAAATAAATACATAAATAAAATGCCAACAGAAATAGGATTTTTTTTTCTGGAAAGCAAAAGGAAGATGCAACCTGTCTGCAGAAGAGAACATTCTTGGTTAAGTCAATGATGATTTTCAGTCATCCAGATAGAATTGTCTGGAACGGGACTTTTTTGGTCTGAAATGTTTCACTGTGTTTCAAACCAAAAGAAAAGACGTGGCCATGATTCAACTTCTGAATTGCTGGTTAAGACTCCATAGCTATTCCTGGTCCATTCCACCTGCTACGCTGCCTAATCCTGTCCTATAAAGCCAGAAAAGTCTGCTTCTGCTGCTGTGTCAAATGCAACCCCTTCCTCCTTTCTGCCAAGTTCCATAAAAGGTTCTACATTTAGGCAAGAAAAACCAAATGCACAAGTACAGCCTAGGTGGCACCATGGTCAATAGTAGTAACTGTGAGAGGGACCTCGGAGTCCTAATAGACAATCACCTAAATATGAGCCAGCAGTGTGCTGCAGCTGCCAAAAAGGCCAACACAGTGCTAGGCTGCATTAACAGAGGGATAGAATCAAGATCACGTGAAGTATTAATACCACTCTTCAATGCCTTGGTAAGGCCACACTTGGAATACTGCATCCAGTTTTGGTCACCACGATGTAAAAAAGATGTTGAGACTCTAGAAAGAGTACAGAGAAGAGCAACAAAGATGATTAGGGGACTGGAGGCTAAAACGTATAAGGAACGGTTGCTAGAATTGGGTATGTCTAGTTTAACGAAGAGAAGGACAAGGGGGGACATGATAGCAGTATTTCAATATCTCAGGGGCTGCCATAAAGAAGAAGGAATTAAGCTATTTTCCAAAGCACCTGAAGGCAGGACAAGAAGCAACGGGTGGAAACTAATCAAGGAGAGAAGCAACCTAGAACTAAGGAGAAACTTCCTGACAGTGAGAACAATTAATCAGTGGAACAGCCTGCCTCCAGAAGCAGTAAATGCTCCAACACTGGAAGTTTTTAAGAAGAGACTGGACAGCCATTTGTCCGAAATGGTGTAGGGTTTCCTGCCTGAGCAGGGGGTTGGACTAGATGACCTCCAAGGTCCCTTCCAACTTTACTACTATTACTATTACTAAAATGCAGGCAGATCTTTCCTGAAAATAATTTGTTGACTGAGACCTTCCTGCATCTTCTCTCGTGTATCCTCTGCACTCTTCTGTATGGTCCTAACTGTAAGAAACCTAGAAAAGAAGCAGCAGCAGGGGGTTGTGGATGTTCATGAGCTGTAACAAAGGATAAAGTAAAAAAAAGAAAAAAGAAGGAAATAAAAATGACAAGAAAGAATAGTTCTCTCCAGGTGGATCTATTCCTGCTGAGGTACACCAATCATTTCCCAGAAAATGCATAAATCCTGGGGATGATACATGAAAGAAACCAAAAATTGGCTCTTGCTGTAAACAAGTTTTGCAAATTATGAAAATGCAACTCAGTCATTCAAGTGATAGTCCAGATGGCAGAGGAGACGAAGCTCTAGAATCTGGTTTCCTTATCCAACCTGTCCTTTGGTCTGAATAACAGATAGTACAAAGATAGAATAGAATAGAGCTGGAAGGGACCTTGGAGGTCTTCTAGTCCAGCCCCCTGCTCAAACAGGAGAACCTATACCATCTCAGATGACTGTCCAGTCTCTTCTTAAAACTCTCCACAATTTCTGGAGGCAAGCTGTTCCACTGCTTACTTGTCCTATAGTTTCCTTGCCTTTTTTCTTGTTAATATGTTGGAAAAAAACTTTTTGTTTTATTATCCTTGATTTCTGTTGCAAGATGCTGATGGAAGGCGCAGTTTGGCAGAATAGAGTGTGAACCTGTGATTTGAAAATGCTGGGAGCCCCTGAAAACAAACAGTGAATAACTTGGGCAGTTTAGGGAAGTGTGAAAGAGGAGATGATAGGCCTTCTGCTGGAATAAAGTGAGACCTGGACCCAGATCGTTGGGGGTAACATGCTGACTCTGTAAATCGCTTAGAGAGGGCTGTAAAGCACAGTGAAGCTTTACAGTCTAAATGCTATTGCTATGTCTCCTGCAAAAGGGAGGGCACTATGCTCAAGTCCCCACTTGTCTTTGGGCCAGTCCCAGTTCTCAATCCAACCTCAACTTCACAGGACTTTAATTGTGAAAATAAAATGAGGGGAGCTCAATAATAGCCGGTGGTCTTTCAGAGCTTGAAGCATGACCTTGATCTGTGATGTGGTTACTTGTCAGCTTGTGTAGAAAGGTCAGAACACTGCATCTCCTTTTAAAAAAGCTGGAACTGTTCCCTCTCTCAAAGAGACATATGCCACCACCTCCTGGTCCCAGCTGTATAATCACTATAATGAGAGAGAGAAAAACCCTAGGCCATTATTCTAGAGAACTACTGATGCCAGTAAGGACAGAGGCAGAATTCAGATCTATGAAGTTGGCACAATATTCAGAACAAATCATAATGGTGATTGATATCACAATCCTTGCAGAATATAGAAGAATATTCTGGGAAGAATAAATGTAAATGTTCGACTTGTGATCCCACCATACTTTATCTAATGTATCCGGTGATGTGTCTCTCCCATCCTACTCTCTGTACAAATGATAGGGAATGTCATGGAAAATGGCTCCTGTCGCTCATGGTTTTTCTGCTGGGAGCCAGCCCTAGGACCCTTCCACTTCTCCAATGCTTTGTTTCACTTATGCACAAAGGCCCAGCAGTAAATAACAAGTGATTAACTCTTTTCGTGTCTTCCTTGGGCTTCTTCAGCTGTGCAGTTATCAGTCTGAGGTGTGAAATTCTACAAATTTGTTCCTAAAAAGGCCATATAATCAATAGAAGCATATAAACTTGAAGAAAAATGAAAACATTGTGTTGTCTCACTTCATCTGTCACCAGCAGTAGAATTCTGCACAGTATCAAGATGGTGATGTTTTGTTTGATGTAGGATTCATAGGGCCATCTCTTCAATAATAAGCTAATTGCACCAAAGGGCATGCTAGACGTCATTTCACATGGTCAATGTGTCCAAAGAAATGCTGCCCTTTTCATATATCGTAAAGTAAGACAATAGTCCCTCAGAAGCAGGCTCGCTGGAAGAAAAAACTGGCAGCACTTCAAAATGGTCTTATTTCACCTGTGAAAGGAAGTTAAGAGGAAGCTGATGAGGAACCCTGGTCAGCAAAGTTTTTATAGATTGTCTGTGATGGAGATGGAGCCTGCAAGGAGGCAGGGTAAAACACACTGCAGGAAACCCATTCCTGTTCACAGCAACATTTAAAGGCAGTTATAGGAGTGGTTATAGGCATCTTCAGAAATCTCTATCATAACAGCATTTGCTGTGTAAAGATTGATAGTGGAGTCCCCAACTTTTTCAACATTGATACTGGTGTTAGACAGGGCTGCATGTTACCACCCTTTCTCTTTCTCCTTATCATAGGCTTTGTTATGTGGTTTATGGGCCAAATGCTGGAATTCCAAGAATCACACAAGGCTCACAGACCTTGATTTTGCTGACAATGTTGCATAGTTGTCGATAACTAGCACCTCCTTGCAGGACATGACTACCAACCAGAAAAATATGACTACGTATTAGTGCACATAACCCCAAAGCCATGTTGATTGGGAGTCACTCTCCCAACACATTAATCACAACTGTCCATCAGTCAATAGAACATGTGCAACAATTTACATACATCTTATCACAAGATGGTAGCATAAATGCAGATACGAAACACAGAATTGATAAAGTCTCAGCAGTATTCCAGTGCTTTCGACCTATTTGGTCAGCTCCAACAATAGATAAGAAGACCAATTGATGGGACACACAGAGCTTTTCTGCTCTGTATGCTGTTAATGCCCATGTTTCACTGGCATAGATCACAGTTGATTGTCTTATAATGATTGTCTAATCATTATAAGACAATCAACCATGATCTATACCAGTGAGACATGGGCATTAACAGCATGCACAGCACAAAAGCTTTGTGTATTCCATTAATGTTGCCTACGGAGAATTCTGGGTGTCACTTGGCATGACTGTGTCACCAATGAGGAAATTTTCCAGCAGAGTGGATCCAGGAAGTTGCAGGGATTGTGACAGAATGTCAAATATGCCTAGCTGGCCATATTTTTTGCTTGCCAGAACATCGATATCCCCAAAACACTGTAAGATGGGAGCTGCCAGAAGGAAAGTGAAGGTGGGATAGACCATGCAAAACTTGGCATCAGACATTTAAAGATGACTTACGGCAGAGGACCTTAAAACGGGAAGATGCCAAAGATGCTGCTGAGGATAGGATTCATTGGAAGAAGCCTGATGCCCTATCCGTTTTGCACAAAAGGAACCAATAATGATGATAGGAGTGGCACTTTTTTTACCCTAATAGGAAAAAATGGGTTTCCAGATATGCACATGGGTCAAAGGTTG